CAGGAAGTGATGTGGTCACATTTTGGAGTTTGGTCTTTGAGCTTTGGCAGGAAGGGGAGTGAGCAGGTGCAATTGTGCGGTCAGGGCTGGGATTTGAGGCAGCATTCTGGGGGCTGGAACTCTGGGGTCCAGGAGACAGAGGTCTGGTGACTGGATATAGGGGGACAGGTTTCCAGGCTCATGGTGATAAAGAGTGTCTTTGAGGCCCTCATCCTTCCCTATTCCTCGGTGCAGCTCTCTTCTCCTTGGGCCCTGGGGCCCTGGTCAGTTTTAGGAGTTAATGTTTAGGCGGCAGAGGCACAGGGGGGCATCCCTGGTGCTCCCCCTCCCTGGCAGGTTCGTGCTTGGGGCGGGGCAAGGGGTACTGGAGTGAGACGGAAAGGACAGAGAGCCTATTGCACAGGCCCCAGGAGGCCTGTTCAGTCAGGACATGTGGCACCAGTGACCTTGCTGGGGAAAGTCGAGAACGAGGTGTGCTGGGCCCGGCACGTCCTGTCCGGGCACCCCTGGGTGAACCCCAGCACCCATCCTCAAGGCCTCAGGCACTCCTGGGCTTAAAGGTACACTAGTGCTGCGACCAGCCCTCTGGGGATGGCCACGCGGTGCCCGGAAGCCCGCCCTGGGGCCGGGCTAACAGGCCCCTGGTCTTCAGTGTTGCCTGCTTCTGGGGGAGGTTTGTCCCTCATCTCTCGTCCCTGCCTGATGGGGGGGCAGGCAAGCCATGGAGTGGGGGAGGGGGGACCGGGCAGCTGGCCTTGGACGTCTGGGGCTTCCCAGGAGGAGGGGGGGCAGGAGGCAGAGCAGGCTCTCTGTGGGATGAGGCCAGAGGTGGGGTGAAGGTGGAGCAGGGCTAGAGAAGGCAATCCCGTCCCTCTGTGGTCTCTGGACCCCCAGCCAACACGACACATGCCAGGATCACTCTCAGCAAGAAATGACCTTGACAGCTACATGCTTCGGGTCGACAGAGGGAGCCCTAACTCTGCAGTCCCCGTGGCTCAGGGCTGGCTGGCTGAACAGGCTCCCGCCCCAGGTGGCTCTGCCCGGGGTGGGACACTGCCCTGGAGCTGGGCGGCGGGGCTGGGCCTTGTGGCCCTGGAAGAGCAGTGTCCCAGGCTCTGACTCCTGTAGGTCCAGGGGAAGGAGGGGGGTGGGGACTAGGAGGCGGCCGTCAGGGAGAGCAGAGGTCAGATGGGGTCAGGCTTCTGGGCCCACAGCCACGCGCCTGCCCCAGCCTTGCCCGGACCCTCTCATTCTGGCTGGAAGCCACCCCCTAACCCTTCCGTGTAGCCTGTCCCTCCCTCATACCTATCGCGCTCTCCCAACTCCACCTGAGCTTTCTGAACGGGGGCTGCTGCCCAGCACTGACTGCCTCCTTCTCCGAGGCGGGCCTGCTCTCTGGGCCTGAATTAGGGTCCCCCTGAGGCCACCCCGGGAGCCAATCCCAGAGCCTGTGGAAGGGGGAGGGGAGAGTGGCCAGGCTGGGTGGGAGCCCTGGCTCCTGAAGCTTCCACCCCCAGCAGAGAGACCCACCTCTGGCCTCCACCCTCCATCACTGAAGAACGAGCAGTAGGAGCCACAGCCACCTCCTCCCCCCTCCCTGCCGCTGCCTCCTCCACTCAGCCGGCAGGTTGTCTTGGCAACGGGAGGCGGAGAGGAGATGCGCCCAGGGATGGAGGTGTATGTCACCGAGGAAGCTGCCGTGCTCCTGCCTCACGCCCCAGGCCCTTGAAGGTACCGATTACCCTCCCTACTCCCCCCATCCTTCCCCTTGACGCCCCCCCTTCAACATGCCTGTTTTCCTGAGGGGAATGCTCCCTGCCTCCCAGCCGGAGACCGTTACCCATTCCTCACGAGCTACCTCGCTCCAGGCCCTTGCCCACAGCTTCCGAGCCGGCAGCAGCTCGCCCCAGCCTTACCTCTGGGACCCTTGCACGGGAAGACAAGCCTCCTGGGTGGGTCTGGTGAGGGGTAGTGAGAGCAGGGGAGGACCCGAGGGGAAGGGAAGATCAGCGGTGCTGAAGGCGGAGGCGGAAAAGCACCAGCACTTGCTCTTCAGGAGGGTGGAGGGAGGCTGTGCAGGCCTGGGGTGGGGCCAGGGCAGGAAGGGGGGGCAGTGGAGGGAGAGAGAGCAGAGAGGCCTGGTGGCCAGGCTGGTTACCCAGAGAAGCCTGGCCCCTCTCTTCAAGGATGTGGCCCCTCCTGTGACATCTAAGGTACACCCCCTCCCACCATCTCCCTGTGTTCTTCACTGTCAGATGGGCCCTGTGTTCCCTCCCCCACGCCTGGCTTTCTCATCTCTTTCCAAGGCCCTCTCCCCACCCCACACACAGCAGCTGGACTGTATCTACTCCCCCTCGCCGCTCAGCAACCTGCCTTCATTTCTCCTTGCTTTCCTGAGCCCAGCCTTCAGATTTCATTCTTCTGCCTTCCAGTAACCCAGACACATACCTCCTCCCTTCCTGTCCCTACCTGTCCCCCACCCTGTCCTCTTCTTTTAGGGAAAAGGTCCCAGGGAACATTCTCACTTGCCCCCTTCAAGACCCTCCCCTGTGATTTTTCTATTCAGGTATCCCAGAGCCCCCTCCCCAGTCTCTCCATTTCCCCAATGACAGCTGATACATCAGCTGACCGGCTGTGGGCAGTGGTTACCAGGGCAACGGCAAGAGCTGCCTAGGTAGGCAGGTCTTCCAGGCGGAGGTGGAGAGAGGAGGCCAGGGCCAGGGCCAGGGCCAGGGTCAGCTGGTGGGGCTCCCTCCCCTGCCTGCCTCCGGGGTCACAAGTGAACGGGCTCTGCTCTGAGCCCACAGCAAACCAAAGGCAGTGACAGGGTCCTGGAGGTCCTCCCAGAGGCGGGGAAACATCCTGGAACGCTGTGCTGGGACCTGGGCCCCACCTGGCAGGAAGTTCCCTGTTGATGAAGTCGCCCTGGCAGGAAATGGGGGTCCTCTCCCTCACAGCACCACCGCCGTGCTCTGTGCATTTCCGAGGGGACTCAGGTTCCTGAAGGGCTAACCAGTCTCCTGTGCCAAAGACCTGCTTTTCCCAGTCCTCCCAGGAGAGGGTTGATCCTGGGGTGATCAGTTCTGGCAGCTGTGCCCACACCCCTAGCTCTCGGCTCCATGCCCTTTATCACCCAGGGAGGCCAGGGCCCCAGAGGCCCCTTTGGCTGCTGTTAGCTGCCGGGCAGGAGATACAGGTGCTTGGAGGAACCAGATGTTGTCCCCCTGGGTTATCGGCCTGGCCCCTCCGCTCCGAAGGTCTGGCTGTTTGCGAGGCACTCTAGGAGCTGAGTGAATGTGTGAGTGTTGCAGGGCAGGGGTGTGGGAAAGGGGAACCGGTGGCCGGCGGCTGGCCCAGTCTGCTTCCGATTCTGCTTCGTCATGATGTCGGCTTAATGCTCCTCTTGTTTGAAATGGATTGAGCTACAGCGAGTGAATGAGCGAGTGAGCGAGTGAGCGAGGTGGAAGAGCAGACGCGTACAAACACACCCTGGGCCGGCCACACGCTATCAGTGGAGGTGGGGAGGGTGCGGGTGTGGGGGAGCCAGTGGCCCACGCCTGCCACACGCAGACGCCCTAGCTCAGCTGGGATCCGAGCTCCAGGCTTGTGGAGGAGCAGGGTGGGAGCCAGGGAGGTGGGGGCAGGAGGGTAGGTCTCTTCCTCCAGCTCCCACCACACCCC